CATTTTTGACTTTTATTTATTTTTTCCTAAACATTAAAAATCATAAAAATATTTTCTTTATTTTTTTGCATTTTTTTTTCATTTTTTTAATTTTATTTTTTGCATAATAAATAAATTATTAGGTTAATATACTTTATTTTCTAAATAAAATTTGTAAAATAATAAAAAAAATACTATACATTTTATTTTTATTATATTATATACATAAAATAAAATTTTCACCAATATTTAATTTTTTTAACATTTTTGTATATATTGTTATTATTTTTCTTAAAACAAAAATGAATAAATAAGTAATATAACATATTTGCTTTTAAAACAAAAATTAGGGTTTTTACCCTTTCAAAAAATAATCATTTTATTTTCTTATATTTTAAGACATAAATAAATTTATTTTACATACATAAAACAAAATACAAAAACATTTTTGCATATTTACAATTTATTCCATATTTAAATAATTTTCTATTTATTTATTTGTGCAATATTTCAATTTGCTTGTAATAATAGTTTTAGGGTTTTTATTTTGAGCAATATCCTCATATTCAAAACTTGTATCCCCCTCCCCATAATAATGTTGTAATAGTCTAGATTTATTTTTACGCATTTTATTGCTTTCATATACCATGATAGTAAGATTAGGGTTTGTATGCAAAGATCAAAATCAAACAAATAGCATGACTTAATGCAAGATAAAAATGCATGAAAAAGGACATCACATTGCACACAAGCACCCCTAGGGTTTCATCCACTTTGTTGCCTTAAAATGGCCATGGTATGCATGCTAGGTATCTTGGAAAAACAAAAACAAAACAAAAAGATCATAGTCCCTCGAGGACGCTATCTTGGTTACCTAAACAAAAATGATCTAGTCCCTCAAAAAGCTTGCTAAGATACTTGGCAATATTGTTATCATGGTCATACGATGACCCACGCCCGTCCCGTTTAACATCCAAAGATAGGGTTGTTTACCAAATACAATGGTAAAATAACAATATCAAAGGAATAAAAATGTGTAGGAAAGATCTTTGAGTATGGTAGACAACTCCTAGTTACTTGATCTCTTGCAAACCATCCTTGCTAATTTCAAAAAACACACACATAATTTCAAAACATTTTCAAACAAACTTTCAAAATATTGAAACATTATTCAAAAGACAAACACCTTTGTATACATTCAAACAATAATCATTACAAAGGTTTCCTAGACAAAGTCCTCTTTTCAAAATACTTTCAAAATCACACACAAAAGCACCATTTTAAACAATTGAAAAGCAAAAGCAAGTGATCTAAAACAAGTAATTAAGAGCCCATAGAAAACCATGGATGAAAAGGGTGCTAGCACCTTCCCTTTTCATAATCTACCCCCTGAACCCAAAAACAATATCAAAGGTCTTTCCTGTGCTTTTTTACCTTTCCTTTTGGATAAAATAAAAGTCGGTGGCGACTCTTGCTAAACCGCAACATTTGCAAACACAAACACAAAACCTCAAGTCAGTTCTCCCACCGCATCACAATAGTCAATTACCATGTTGACTATAAAATTATTCTCGCATTAGTGGAGAGAAGAATACTCGAAACTCACACCTTTCATCTTCCATGTGGTGAATGTACAGTCACACTAGAGGACATGTACATGTTATTCGGTCTACCGATCGATGGCAAGGCTTTCAATGGCCGAGTCAACCAAGACAAGGCCATATTCGAGGAGCTTTTGGGAGTCTCTTTATTTGAACAAGGGTCAAGAGGCCAAGGTATTAATCTCTGTCTTCTTAGAGAATATCATAGTAGTCTCGTAATAACCGAAAACTCTACCGAGCAAGGAAAAATTGTGAAAGCTTGGTGTTACATAATGATATTATTTGGCCATTTTTTATTTCCTGAAACAACAGGTAATACTGTTAATATCATGTATTTACCCTTGTTAAGACAATTTGATAAAATAAACACATATAGTTGGGGTTCAGTTGTTTTGGCCCATCTGTATAGTTTCTTGTGTAAAAATGCATCAAACGGTAGCTGTTCTTTCTATTCTTGCGCCTTTTTACTCTAGACATGGTGCTGGTCGAGAATGCTGACACTCGCCCTCCACAACAGAAGGCCATTCGGCTTCCCCTCTGCTACAAAGTAAGATTACAAAACCATAAATTTTACATATTATATACCGAGACATGTAGTGTATTAATTTATTATCCATTTTTTCTATGTAGACGGTTTGTTCCTGGGATGAATTACAACAAATCCCCTAGAAACGCAATAGTAGTCTACCGAAATCTTATTGATCATGTTGGACCCGAAGAGGTATTAAACTTACATATTTAATACAACACATTCAATAGTTTAATAAAGTTTGATATTTTATATAACTTTTTTTACTCTACAGTTTATATGGAGGCCGTATAAGGATCTCGACCATGAGATTAACCCTCTTGATGCTAAAGTCTAGACTACAAAAACAACACTCATCAGGTTCACTACTGTGGAGATGCACCACAGTGATCGTGTGAAGCTACAGTTCGGCATGCAACAGGGTATCCCCGACCCCTAACATGTTTGGGCCAATGGCATCTACTCAGAGTTGACGACCAATGGGGATTTAACGATTTGAGAGACTTCACTAAAAATCAATGTCGTCAATGGAGGCATAGACGTGAAATGGTCCTAAGGGAGCCGATCTTGCAAGATGACTTAAAATCGACGCTCCAATATTTGAGATGGTACACATCAGTTTCAACAAATTTGTTTCTGTCTCAAGAGACTTATTTGATCGACCCACGCCAAAGAGCTGCAACATACGCCCAACAACAACCCCAACAACCAACCTCTCAACAATACCAAACCCAACAACCAACCCCTCAACAATACCAAACCCAACCACAATGTCAACCCACTCAAACCCAACAACCATACACCACCTCATTCAACCAAACTCGTCATCAATTCATGCCACACACACAAACACAATACCAAGAGTATGACCCGACCCACCACCAACAATATGCACCATCCTCATCCTACCACAACACCCAAGACACGTATGATACATCTCCTTCCTACCATACCACCCAACCTACATACAGTCAAACATCACACCATCGAATTACCCAATCATCATACGAATTTCATACACCATAAGAACCGTTGCTTCATTTCCATCACGATTCAACATCCCAATACTATCAACCACCCCACCACCCACACATATCCCAACCAACAAGACCAAACTTCAACAACATGGGCACCAATCTCTTTGAAAGCACAACACAGTGGGGCGAAATGATCGATGAGATATATGATCCTGATGTAGCAGGACCATCACATCAAGCACCTCATAATCAAGCGAGTCAGAACATACCACAAACACCTCAAGAAAATCAACAGAGAGGAGTGAGACAAGGGGCGAGGCAAAGGCGCGGCCTTTTATGTCATACTGGGACCCGCTTAGGTTGAGGGGACGTCCAAAAAAATATATATCCATGTGTTGTGTAATATTAAATATTAATATAAAATATTTTTAGTTACTTTTATTTTATTAAAAAAAATTGCAATAACACTGTCAAGTCAAGGAGGGTGGCGCCTCCTCTCTAAAAACACATGCACGTGCCACACTGCATGACTTTACAGAGGAGGACACGCCATGCAGTATGGTGCCTCCTCTTAAAAATGAATGCATGTGCCACACATAGTGGCTACTTCTCTGTGTGGCGAAATTTTTTTGTTTGAAAAATGATTATTTTGATAAATTTTTTGAAAAAGTGGTTATTTGGGAATTTTTTTTATAAAAAAAGTGATTATTTGGAAAAAAAAAATCGATAAAAAAGGATCATTTTACAACTAAGATATTTTCGGAAATGCATTTTCAAAAATATCTCTGATTGTTATATTCCAACGTTTAAATTATAATTATATACAAAAATAATTCGTTCAGATATACACATCCAGAAAAAACATCCTTTACAGGTTCAGAGATATTTTTTCTCTATAAAAATGTACAAAAGAAATTCCCTAAAGAGATACATAAAAGATTCATTTCTGTAAGTTTTTAATTTATTGAAAAGGTTATGGTGATATGAATTTTTCTCTCAAATTATATTAACAACTAAAGATGAAATTATGTATAAGAAGTGGGAATAATTTGACTTCATAATCAGATTTTTTTTGAACAACCATTTTTTATAAATAATTTCTTAAATACCCATTATTTCAAATTATTTTTTAAATTAACCATTTTTTTAAATAAAAAATAATCGACACGTAGAGGTGTAACCACTTTGTATGATATATGTATGTATTTTTAAGAAGAGAATTCACACTACATGACAATGCTCTTTATTTTCAATTGATATATCATTCAAGATGACATGACATTATTTACATGCATGTGTTATCTCTTATCTTCCTACCATTAACAAAACCACCTTGGTCACAAGAGATCAGAGAAGGAAAGAAGGAGGCTAATATGTCATCTATCACTTTAGTGATGATTTTAAATTTGAAATTGGCTAAAGCCTGTACTCGTTTATATTGTTAGCTTTGTTGCACTTAGGAATTAAGATCAAAGTGTTAGAGTTGTAGCGAGGCATGATCCAATATTTAATAGAACTATTGAAATAACTTTGATAACCTCCATTTTCTCAATTTTTGAAATGTGTTGCCAATGTAGTAAGTAAAATAGCATATTCCTTAATTCCCCATTTTTCTCATTTTTGAAAAATGTCGTTTTAATCACTTTTGTATTATGTGGTGGATTAAGAATTGTATAACACTAGTGCTACAAAAAGGCACCATTCAAAATCTCCCTACATGATATGACATGTCCCTCATCACTTTTTTGGTACTACAAGTATAGTCCCACCCCTTCACTTCTACCACATGTAATGCCATTGCCTCTTCTTCATTTCATTTCTCTTTCTCTTCATCCAACTCACAAAAATCTAACCTTCAAAACATCCTAGTTTTCTTAAATCTCACTAAAACAGAGTACTCTGTTTTCCTACCAAATGGCTACGATTGTTTGCCACGGTTTACCTTCAGCTCTTGATTCACACCTTGTTGAATCAAGAATACACAATCTTCGTTTAACTTCTCCAAAACCACTCACAAATCAACCCATTGATTTACCTTTCAAGACGTGTTTTTTGGAATCAAACACCAAATCCAACGAAGATAGTTGGAGTTCCATTCAATCACTTTCCAAATCCAATGCTTCTAATGGCCTTAAAGAATCCACCTATGTTCATCCCAATGTGAAACTTCCATGGCAGAAACTTAGCTCCAAGAGTTTAGAGCTTTGCACTGAGAATCTAGGAAACGAAACAGGTGCTGATATTTTAGAAAGCAGCATTGACTTTTTCTCTTTAACGAGCTCATCTTGTGATAAATTGGATACAAAGGAGCAAAAGAAAAACTCATGTAAAAATTTGAGAGCTGATAAGAAAGAGCGAGCAAAGAATTTTCCACCACCTTTGAAGAGTATGAGAGGTTTAGAGTCTCTAAGAGTGAAACCACATAGAGAAAATGGAAGGTTGGTTATGGAGTTAACAAAAGTTCCATCAAATGTTTCTTGCTTTCAAGCCGAGAGAAGTAATGGTCGTCTCCGTCTTTCTTTTTGGAATGAGGTTGACGAAGACGACACAGATGATACAGATGATGAAGATGAAGAAGAAGAAAACACAAATGAAGTAGAAGAATGTATTATTGATAACGAGAATGAAGTAAAAGATGTAGAAGAATGTATTATTGATAACGAGCACGAAGTAAAAGAAGTAGAAGAATTTATTATTGATAATGAGAACGAAGCGAATGCAATAGAAGAATGTATTATTGATAATGAGAACGAGGCGAATGCAATAGAAGAATGTATTATTGATAATGAGAACGAGGAGATCTATGAAGTACAAACTCCAACACACAGGCACAAAATATTGAGAATGGAAAAATATGAGAGGGAAAGTAGAAGAAGATGTAAAGAAATTGGCAAACATGAAAACCATGAAAAGATGGCAAGTTGGAGTGAACCTCTTTGGCTTACATTGGTGATTTCATAAAATTCTCATTTTGATTTGATTTGATCGACGTCTCTATCTAATACTTTCTCTGATTTTTATTATAAGAAAAATTTTATTTTTTAAATTCATTGAATTATCAATATATTTGATCTATATATTATTCAGATATATTGACCATTAAATGAATCTAAAAGTGAATTTTCTCTCCTAATAAAAATCAAAGAGAGTACTAATATAATAGAATTTTTTTAGAATTTTTAAGTTTGTTCTTTTTTCTGAACATTCCTTTTGGCTACTTGTAATGAAATTCAGTGTCTTTGTTTGATTTCAAAATTCTAGTATCTTTATTTCTTACAAAATGGATGTAGACGGTAGTTAGTTAATGTTGTTATGTTTCTCAGTTTTTTGGACACACACAACTAAATGCAAATATGATGAACATAAAAACAAAACAGTTTGGAATGAATTATAATCAATCCTAATTCTGTTGTAAATTGATTGGTCGATCGGTTTTAAAAAATGTTAATCACTAAATCCAAACAAATTTTATAAGAATACGTGTCACTGAATATAATTTATTTAAGAGTGATATTGGGAAACCCACTAGAAGGAACAATGACAAAAGATTTTACTATGGTACACTTACTCTTCAAAAGATGAAAATATATTTATTTTTTTAATTTTTCTTTTAATACTTAGTATTGATGATTTTCACCATTGAAAACTTAAAAATACTCTTCAGATATGTATTTTCGAACTCACTTATTAACATGTTTTGGATGTGCATCTCCGAAAATACCATATTTCCACGTTTTAATACTTAAACGTTTGAATTTTAAATTTCAGTGGGTGTTTCGAAAATGAATATCTAAAATATATGTACATGTAATTTCAGATATGCATATCCGAAACTTTCTCTGTTTGTTGCATTTTTGTTTAAAACAACATCATTATCCATACCTTCAAAATGGACAATTTTTTTAAAGATTATTTTGAAAAAGTATGAAACACGAAGATAATAATACAGACATAACGATTAGATTAGATGTTCATACAAACGGAAAGATAATGTAGTACATAAGTTATTCGAAAAGTGCGAAATGTCAAAATATTACATCCAAAACATAAAACAAAATATAACATAGGCTACTACTACTGCATATGCCTAATCCTAACCACTGTGACCTTCTTTGTCTATTGTACTACGCCGCACTGGATACCTCCGTAACCATTCTCCCAACGATGGCAACCTCCTCAGGACCGTCCCTCTCAATAATCCCAAAATCCAATGCCTTCTGCCCAAGTAGGTGTATCCGCTGACAGATCAGCAAGAGATCAGTGGCACGGTCATCCTTAGCATGCTGGTTCTCCAAGAGCTCCTCATGAGCTGGCCTAAGAGGACGTCCAGGACCATCTGGTGTCATGATAGGGTGTGACACGTTAAATAACCATGTCCCGTAACCCTTAACACAATGCCAACTCTAGGATGTTGGCATCATCCGATACTCCTGTGGCACCAAATGATTCTCCCAGTCCTAAAAGATGCCATCGAGATCCCGCCAGACAATAGTGTCGGGAGCAGCCTGAAAAGGAGATCTCGGTATCATCTACACATAGCCAAACTATCGGATACAACGCTCTAAAAGATACCTGACCATAAGATTCGACCCACAAGCTAGCCACCCAGAGTATAATGAGATCGGTTCGAATGAGACAACATCCCTGTAATCATCAAATAACGTCTATTTGATGTCATCATGATTAGTACGATCAAGATACACTCGGTAAGATAACACTTTATGATTCCCTTTATGGAGGACATACTTTGCAGCCTTCGCCATGTCGTGGGTATAAATCGGGTCTGGTTCGAAACCATGAATTTGGTGAAAGTGAGAGATGATTCAGCTCTGAAACAGAAATCATAGAATATGTAAGTACAAATTATAAATAAAAAAAATTAAATGTAACAGTTGAAATGAAATGTACCGTGAGAAGTGTGCAAGAGCCAGTGAGTTGTCTAGTCCTATAGTTTGAAGCTTCACTCAGCTTCTGGTACAAGTATACAAAAATGGCGGCCTTCAGTTCAAGTCACGAACTATAGTTAAATCCATAAAATACCGAAGGTATGTCACATCAACGTAGTAGGTACTTTTGTCCATAAATATGAATGTGCCAACCAAGAACATATAGTAACACCGTAAAACACAACTTCAGTGGTACTGAACAAAAACCTCATCCCCCTCATCCTCGGGCGCTGCTGCTACAACCAGATGCTCTTTATATAGATCCTTCAGGTGCGAGAATTTTACATGTGAACCATTAGTGGTTCTGCAGTCATCAGCTGCCCTATATGGCTCAACACCCAGATACTCGACCATCTATTCGATTGCCTCAACTCATGGTATCTTGTGATGGTTAAGTAACCTCCCTCTGATAGATAAGTGGATTAAGCAAGCAACATCATCAAGGGTGATCGTCATCTCCCCAACAGGAAAGTTGAAAGACGACATATCCTTGTGCCACCTCTTTACAAATGCCCCCTGCATGTCGTGGCTTATAGTTGAGTAACTAGTACAACATAGTCCAGCAAGTCCGGATCCAACAACAGCCTCATGGAACCAAGCAGCCCTAGGCACAATCAATTCAAATGTTTTCTGCGAGTGGTTCACGGACTTAATCAGTAACCGTTCTTATAAAAAAATTACCGTGAAAATATAATTTGTGAGTAAAACTTTAAAATGAAAAAGTGCAACATAAAATATACCTCTCCATCCCAAACATGCAAAGCGGCATGATCATGATAATAAATCAAAAGGAAGGTGTCATAAGGCCCTCCTGGATAGCCGACATTCTTCTCCTTGGGTACCTCAACATGCTCTGGTACCTCATCCCTCTCAGGCACTGCAAACTCCTCACGAACGTTCCCCTCACCGGGTACCTGCTCATGTGCACGAGAGGTAGACGCTTGAGACAGATAGCTCCTCGGTGAAGAAGAAGAAGAAGAAGCTCCAGAAAAATCCTCCCTTTGTACCCGACCTCGTCCTCAAGGCCTGTTAACCAGTTTCTCAGCTCTCTCTCGCCGAGCAGAGGCAGTCTGGCTTGGCTTGCCTTGTCTCAAACGATTGGACGTTCCCTATTTGTCAGCCATCTTCTTGAAAAATTAATTATAATTGTTAATATCAAGGGGTTTCAAAAAAATAACTCAGGCAAGAGTTCACATGTGCATATCTGAAACTGGTCCAAGGGGGTTTCAGATGTGCACTTTTGAAACTACATGTGAACAACCATTATCAACTAACCATTTCTTCTTGCTCTAAATCATCTAAATACTATTTTTATGTCACCCAAACACCAAAATTAAACTATTCTAACAACAATCTACACAATGTCATTGATTCTAAGTAACCTAATAAACTATTATAACATTGTATAGTGAATCACATAGAAATGGAGGATACTTACACAAACTTGGAGCTTTTGAAACAACAAGGTGACTTTGGAGATGCACATCCGAAGTCACCTTTTTGACAAAATAAAATGACTTCGGATGTACACATGCAAACACACTTGTTTTTGTCAAATATGGTGTTTTCAGATGTGCATCTTCGAAGTCTAGGGGTATTTAGGGAATTTCGTCAAAGGTATAAAAGAAGTACACTAGTTGTACAAAGAAATTCTCTTTTTTTTTGTGCAAGCAAGATATTATATAAGGGAAAACTAAGGGTTCTCCAACCTGATTATACAGAATAACGGAAAGATCCGACAAAAAGAGAAATTACTAACCAATTAGAACTACGAAATGAATAACAAAGGGTCTTTGCTAAACTCGTAAAAACTACAATTGGAGTGAGTAATTTCTCCACAAAAAGACCATTTCTAAACCAAAGTTTTAATATACCACACCATATTGTTAAAATTCCAACATTCGTTTCGGAAGCAAATCTCATTCCTTTCCAACCAAAGAATCCACATGGTGTCTAACCAAACGACACCTAACTTGCCCTCTTTAACCTTTTTTACACGATAAAACAAGTATCGACCCATAAAATTCGATAAGAACTCATCCTTCTCCACATCCGATTTACCAATCCATAATGCTATCTCCTTCCAAACTTTCTTAATTGTCGTACACTTGAAAAAGGAATGCTCCCTATTTTTCGATTCTATACCACAAAAAACACACTTTAAGTTGTCTATTTTACAGTTAATACCTCTATACACCTAAAGTCTTTTGTTGGAAGTCTATTAACAAAAAGTCTCCAACAAAAAGCCTTAATTTTGAAATGCACTTCAATTCTTCAAATCAAACCCAAAGCCACATCATTCCTATTAGGCGGACCAAAAGGAACACCAAAACCTTCATAATGCCCATAAGAGGAAGCAACGAAAAAACCCTGATCTGAGTTAGAATTCCATTCCATCGAATCCGAGCCTTCTGACCAACCACCAAAATCCTCCAAAAGTTCCTTTAAAGACGCAAAAACGGGCAACAAAAGTGGGTCGTGGGCCACGATCGTGGTTAAACCAAGGTCACCCCAAATCCACCTTCCATCACTCCACCCCCTCTCCATGCCCTCCACTGAAACTCTCTTCAAACAAGAAACTGCAAATAAATCTGGAAAATCCTCCTTCAAGGTTTTATCCTCTAACCACTTGGCTTCCCAGAATGGAGTAGAATAACTATTACGAATGATGAACCTACTATTAGAAGCAATAGGATCATTGATAGAAAAACTCCCTACCTTGATTATATCCTCCATCAAGAAGAAAAAGAAGAATAAGGTTGTTTTGTATCCCCTCCACAAAAAACAAGAGTAGAAATATCACCATAAAAAACAAGAGTAGCAACATGTACAACATCGTCAAAGTGTAGAGTAAGGTGAAGGAAGTTTAGGTGAATATTATTTTGCGAAGGGAGGTCAATACTGTGTAAGAGGCAAGGGTAAGGAAGTGGATTTAAAAAATAAAAAGAGCTTCAAGTTTAAGGACATATAAACAGTAGAATGTTATGGTTGTAAGAAAATTAACAATTAGAGGAG